TCTGATCGTCAGCATTATTCCGCTTCCTTTGTCTGGCCCGTTCAATGTGATCTCCTGGTTATTCACTACTTCCTTCACAGCATCCGAATGCGCTTTTCTGACTGGTCTTTGAAGTCTTGGTTTGCTTTTTCACTTATTGACACCGGAAGTTGCTTCCAAAGTTGTTTATCGTGCCCCCCCCCCCACATACACCAAATGCAAGAGAATTCAACTGCACACTATAGAAATAGCAGAAGCGATCTGGTGAAGAAAGTTGATCACTGACCTCTGCGCCCAAAAGCAATCGGTTCAGCCACTCCAATCCTCCTGGCTCGCCGTCCCGTCACCCTGGGGTAAGGTAACCGAGTCAAACCAAACAAATGACAAAAGCAAGTTGAATATGACAAACTCTTACCCATGATTGGTGCTGTGTGTAACTGTGTGATCTGTTTTCTAGTGTTACCTATGTAATCCGCGAACGGCTTGAGAATGAATAACTGAAAAATACAATAGCTACACCAAATAACGTTTGATCGTTCAGTTTCATGTTGGGTATGCAAAGCAAGTTTTATGTTCACTGTCCCAAAGAACCGCAGCCTCCGCAATTTTTTTCAATTCGGAGACCTCAAACTACCGGTTTAGCTGAATTCCGATATATTCTCCCAATGATTGCCTCATCCTCTAATCGATAGCGTAATTGAGCAACACAGGAGTGGGGGGAGGAAACCCACGTCAAATATTTGAGTAGAGTGAGAAGCTCCATGATCCTTTGCCATACATTCGGAAACGAACCCATAACGTTTGATAATGGAACTTGATTGGGTTCGTTAGTTTTTTTGGCATTCCGTCGTCCCTCATGAACTTTTTTCGATCGAATCGAATGCACAGCTTGAAGTCGATGTACCGGGTGACAGCTGGTTGCTGGTGTTTCAAAACTGCTCCGTGTGACACATCTTTCGCAAAATTTCCCTTAACTTGGTACAGTGCGGGTGGCTTTCTATGAAATGGTTGGACAAAATGACCGTGAAAAATTCAGCTTTTACGTCGATAAGGTTGATATTCCGGTAGACAGCTCAATCTTTTTGGTCACTCTTCTTTTGAACTTACAAGATATGCAGGCTACGACAATTTACAGAGAAGCATTCATGGAAGCTTCACATAAGAATATCAAAAGACAACGTAACGAACAAGCTTATTTCGTAAATTTGTCTTAGGGCATCAACAGTTGTGTTTATATATAATGTAGAAATAAATGTAATGTTAACAATGTCTGTCAAATTTAATCGGAGAAGATGGAGAAAAGGGAGGAAGGAGGGTCCAAGGCCAATTTGGAAATCTCGCATGATCTTTTTCACGTGCAACTTGTCACACCATGTCGCATCATCACGATATTATTGAGGTCATGGTTCGTTTCGTCACGTAGGTTTGGGTTCTAACACACATCCCCGGGGTGATAATTTGGTGACGTTACCACCGGACCACCACTGGAGTGCGACAACCATTTTCTTCGGTTTGCACAGTGATAGGTTCTGGATTTTTATTACTACTGCAACTGCCGTTGCCAAACGTACTTCTAATGGTTTTTGGGTAATTTGTAGACGATTTTAAGTGCATCGTTGTCTGTCTGGTGCCCGGTATCGGCGAGGTGTGCCACAATTGCACTGGGTATTTTTTGCAACCCGTGCTGAGTCAAGCTGATTTATGTTCTCTAGCCCTTTGTGAAAACTGTCTCATCGCTCGTCACAACTTGCCGAACGTGTGCAAGCCAAGGAATGTGTCCACAGACCAGAAGAGGATGGACACTTTATCCTTGAATTTTGTGCAGACCTGTGCTCGACCCTTAAACGTCACACGTAGAGTGGCAGCTGGATATGTTCGTTATTGCTTTTTCAAAATGTCTCCTCAGTAGATTACTATCCAAGTCTTCTTTGGACGTGAGTGCTTTTGGTAGTGTGCTCTTTCCTATAAAGCTCTTCTCCATGAAACGCTCCGGGTATCCATTGTTCAGTAGTGTAGATTTGAGGATTCTTAGTTCTTCCTTAACTAGATCCTTAGAGCAAATCATTCGAATTCTAAAGGCTAGACACTGGACTAAGTTTCGTTTGGATTTGATTACGACGAAACTTTGGAAGTGAATGTATTGACCGTTCTATGATGGTTTGCGAAAAATCGAATGGTGCACCGTTCCATTGTATCCCTTCTTCAGGTTACCATCGAGGGAGTGAAACGTATCCTTATCCTCTGTTTCGGTCGTATAGCTGATTGACAGATGAGTTCAGTTAAAATGTTTCAACATTATGTTCCGTAAACTATTTTGTCGGAAAGGATAGAAATATCGTCAAAATAAAGGCAGTATAGTGGGAGTTGATGAACGCTGTTCCGTAGTTCGTTGTTTTTTCCGGTTTGGCTACGAACACATCTGCAAGCGGGCAAAGTGGAGAACCCATGGCTGCACCGTCCGCCTGTCTGGAGATACTACCATTAAAATAAATGACCTTGGTCCCCCCATTTCACCATTTGCACTGAATCAACTTGACAGACAATGCTGCTCTTTCCCACTTCACCTCAATGAACCAATCACAATTATTTGAACATTACACATAAACACACATGACTGTAAATGCATGAAGACTAATTGAAACATTCAACCATACGTTTATTTTCCAAGGCATGCCTTACTGGTCCCCGTGATTATTCCTGGCCTATTACAAAGACTTCATTACTCCTCACCATGGTTTGGCACTTATCAGCAGTATTTCTCTTATACCCCTAAATACTGATCACAAAACTGCCTAAGTTTCACAAAAATTCATGCGAGAATTCCGCTTCTTAACGACTCGCTCGATCACAACGTATCTACACGCCGCAACCCGATTCAATTTTCGCTTCTCAGCCTAACGTATCTAACTGACCAAAAGAAAGTCCTCTACGACAAAATTTTAAATCTGAAAAGACGATCCTCTTTTGTTTACGACGTTAACATTTCGTCAACATCACAATGTAACCGTAAACGTGGCTCTGACCGAAATGTGCACAGTTAATTGCACAGGCCATTACAATACGACAGAATGAAGCACCCTCAATACTCTATCGGGAGACTACTGTGCGAAGAGGATAAAGTAGAGAAGAATTGCTAGAATTCTATCCTCCCCGGAGAACTTCATACAATTGGGTTGATTAATTGCTGCTGCAATGATTGCCGATCAGGCGCTTCGCAGTCTATGCCGTACGATGTAATTAGGGATTTAGGATACGACGGCCGGTCCAAGACGTGGGACAACCTAATAGCGCGTCAAAAAGATGTCCCCAATACCTGAACCACGCGAGTAATTTACCGGTTTTCGTCACGCAGTATTAACTACCCGATGCTCAGATTAGACGAGAGAGTTCTGCAATTCATGTCCTTTCCATCTTCTCCGCTGGTTCAATTCAGTATTATTGTGGTCGTCTCTGGCGAATTGGATGGCTTGGCGGTAGACGTTTTGTAAATCGCTTGACTCAGTTTATGCCGCCTTTCTTTGGTTCGGTGAAGAACAGACAAGTTGTGAAGAAGATTCAGTCCTTCTGAGTATTCGTACATTGTTCTTTTAGCATCTACTGCAATACACGTCAATGGTTATTTTGCCACTGCAGATAACTTGTCCATTTGGAGAGAGACAATAAATGCGAATAGACCCTTCAGCTGTTCCACTGATTTTCGTTTGTTTTTTTCGTTCCCTCTACATATCCTAAACACAAGAACGTACCACCAAAGAGTGACCGATACACGACCACGATCAAGTCTATTTGGTGGGCAATCGAGTCCCCGCCTGATTATATTTGAAGTCATCATCTGCATACAATACAATCCCATGGGCTGTGGCAAATCAAATATTCTTAAATCACAAGCACGTGTTCACCAGTGTGCTCATACGCAGGCTTATCGTGTACCGAAAGCAAACGATCCCTTGGCTTGACTTGAAGTAACCCTAAGAGGACCGACCCGCAGTGTCCGTGTGATCGGTACCAACAAGGGCTACGAAATACGAAACGGAAAACAGAAATCGCTTAGACCGATGTGTATATTTTGTGCAAAAACGGAGTTTTTGAGCGCTATGTACAAAACCGCCGGAATCGAATACGCGGTAGGACTGAAGTGATGGGGACTGGACTTCAACGCCTCTCGTAAGATTTGTGGTTTTTATTCAATCCCAGAGATTTTCGTGCGCGGGGGCATTTGTTTCTTCGTCTCTCGACTTCACGTAAAAGATCGCATTCAGGCTGAAAACAAATCGCATTAGGTGAACAGAGTTTATAAAAATGTTAGGAAACACGAAAACAAAACGATGACATCGGACATTGGGCCGGCAATCGTAACCTGAATGCTGGCTACGTTCTAACTGACAGTAATCGGAAAAAGAAACAACTCAGATTTGAAGGAGATAGAATCTTGTGCTCGTGTGTGTGTGTGTGTGTGTGGGGGGGGGAATCGGACCGTTCATTCATCATTGGTGGGCTCACCAACAGTGCACACCATGTTCGTATTCTATCCTAAAACTCGAACTCTGAATCTGTCCCGCAGTGGGAAAATGTGCACTTAGAGTGCTAATTCGTTCTCGGCCTCATATATATTTCACACATGTCTGATGCCAGACTGTGTGCCAAACAAATCGTGGTACAATAATCTTTATAAAAAGAAAAGCGTTCCACGTTCTCGGACTCAACTGTGTGGTTCATGGATAACTGTTTCTAGTGTATGAGAGTCGAAGAACTCCCGTGTGGCTTACTAGCGGCTTGGATATACTTTTGATAACTCTCGCGCATTGGGGCATGCTAAAGAAACCAGTTTCACGAGAGGAAAGTATATCATTAGGACAACCAAAAGGTTGCACTGTAGAGAGGAGGAAGCTTGATTATATGTC